AACTTAGTTAATTATCATTTTTGTTTATTTATTATTTTATACTGCTACACCTACATCAAATTCTCGTGATTTGGCTGGTAGATTTTTTTTTGTATTATTCCCTTTGTATTCTTTTATATTAAGGAATGCAATAAAGAATAAATAAATTATTATTTACGATCATTCACCTACTACTAAATGGACGGCGGATCTAGAACAAAAGTCACGAAAAATGTGTCCCGAGTCAACGTATACAAACGTATTATATATATAATTTTACTTGCGAAAATTTATCAGCCTTTTAACTTCAACCAGAGGCTGAATTCTTTTCGCCTTATGAAGCTTCTAGCGAAAATTATCGGTATGGTTTTCTGTTTTTACAATTAATGTGAATTTAAATTAAATACCACGTATCTTGTATCTAAACAAAATATTATTTTTAAATTATTAAATATTAATAGTCTAATATAAATAGTATCGAAAAAATATGCGCTAGCACTTCTTACTAGTTTGTGGATCTAACTAATTTGGTAGTGGTTATAAATGGAGGGTAGTGGTTAAAGTAATATTTTAGAAGTATACGGGAACAATAATCTTACATTTTTATCGCTAATCATAGTTGGTATATTCCATATTGTATTTTAATTAAGCTTATTATTAAGTAACACAAAAAAAACACTGAAACATTTTAATGTATGAAATTTATGACTCCAAATGTCAAACAATTAAATACTAATGTAATTTTAAATGGAGAGAAACTGAGTCTTGTAGATACCACCATGTTTCTAGGAATCACATTAGATATCAAGCTTCAATGCAGCCCCCATGTATCAAAATTAGCAAGTAGACTTAGCTCTGCAGCATATACTGTAAAAAAGTTTAGAAGTCTTAGCAATGTGGAAACAGCTAGACTAGTTTACTTTAGCTATTTCCATAGCATAATGTCGTATGGTATTTTGCTATGGAGACACGTAGCTGACACTGAAATATTATTTGTTTTAAGCCATAAGAGCAATCAACCATTTATTCGCTGCGACAAAAATTTAAGGAAATTAATATATTAACTTTGGCCTCTCAATACATTTATGAAAATGTAATGTACGTATGTACAAAAATAAAACTAGTTTTACAAAAATAAGTGATATTCGTTCTGTAAATACTAGGAACAGACACAAGCTAATAGTATCAGTTACTCGACTCCAACGAGTCACTAATTCATTGTGGCGATGTATACGCTTTTACAACAAAATTCCAGAAAATATAAAAAATTTGACCGGCTCAAAGTTCAAAAATTTTATTAAACTAAGTTTGTATAAAAAGGGTTATTATAATATTAAATAATTTATGGATGACAATAACCCCTGGAAATGAGATGATCGCTACCAAGCTATTTCTAATTTGTTGTGTTGTTAATTTGTGTAACATACATGACTGTAAGCTGTTATTTAAAAAAAAGTCCCGCTAGGTTTCTTGCTAGTTCTTCCCAGGACAGAGATTTTCTTCGAACTAGTAGGTAATTAAACAAAAGAGTGACTTTCAATAAGTATTATTTATAATCTATATTGAATAAAAAAGTTTCTGTTTCTGTTACACGAATTTTCTTTCCCTAAAAACTAGGAGGTGCATTTTACGCTATTGACAACACTATTTTAAAATTTGACGTTGTCAAATGAATGAATATATTGTTTTTTTTTATATAGAATAGGATGACAAACGAGCACACAGTCCGCCGGATGGTAACGTAGATAAAGGATGATGGTAAGTGGTTGCTGTGGCCCATAGACATCTACATCTATCCTCGTTTGCGAATCAAAATGCAGATGCGTTTTCACCCGTGGGGACTAAGATGGAATGCCTCTTTTCCAGTAAAAAGGGTCTCTGGTTCTCTACACTCACCATACGAAAAACATCCGTGTTGAGCTGCTATTTTACGCTGATATTCTGCGAGTGCGTGTTCCTTTCCCGGTCGAGCCGACCCATTTGTGCTACAACTATACTACTTATATAGTTTTGTGCTAATTATTCGCTAAATCTATGTGGAGTGCACTCACTTAGGGAGCGTTAATTCTAGTTAATTTTTTTTTTTTCGGAACAGTAGAAAGATTTTACAGGTTCTTTTCATCATCCACACGTCGATGGGAAATTTTAATAAAAAATGTAGGCGTATCCGTCAAAATACTCTCAGTGACAAGATGAATTGCTCATCATAACGCTGTTTAACCACTGCAGAATAATTTAAAAAAACTAGTATAAACACTCCAAGATATATATGATTCCAGCAGCAACAGAGAAAACGTCGATACAAAAGAAGCAATATCTACGCTCTTATCAGCTTTGTGTGACTTCAGTTTTTTATGCTATTTTTCCTTTTGGTGTAAAATCCTAAAAAAAAGTTAGTCAGACACAAAAGCAAATACTAAATAATATAATAATAATCTAGATTATCACTGGAAAAGTATGAGATAAAAATCATAGTCCAAAATTTTTTCTTCAAAGCCAACGTATTCAACTAGTGGAAAAAGCTATTTCCTACGTAACAAAAAATGTGAGAATGTGGACATTTCGATTGAAGGAAGAAGAGGAATGAGGAGATATCGAAAACGTTTACCAGGAGAAATGACCCGATATGCTGGACTGATCGCTCAAATGGTTAGCGCTCGCTGTAAGCTTCACAATACTCGAGCAACCCGGGTTCGATCCCCAATGAAATTGTTAATTGCAATTTTAAGTGCTGATTTACCACGTGCTCGGCGGTGAAGGAAAACATCGTGAGGAAACCTGCATGTCTGAGATATATGAAAAAAATTTATTTCGAAGACATGTGCAGTTCGCCAACACATTTCCTTGCCCCAAAACCCTTTCAGAAATGAGAGGAGGCCTGTGCCCAGCAGTGGTACGTAAATAGGCTGCAACTTTACTTTTACGCTGGACTAACATTGCCAGAGGAGCTGCTGAGAGCTATGTTAGAATGTCTTGACATATATTACGAGGAACTAGACCATCGCTACAGAGAAATGGATGATATTCTCGTAACATTTAGTGTTGTTCAGCCTTACACTCTGCTAACGTCACCAGATAAAGATCTTCGTGTAATAGTTCAAAATCTAATAAATCTACGATGATTTTCTGCAGGATATATAATTTTGGCGATTTTATGACTTGAAAGCGGTTCCTAAGAAGCGGTTCAATGTAATTCGTTGGAGTTTTTCTCGTAAAATCGAGCTATTCTGAATCTATTCCAAATCTAGCGCTATGTCTAAGATTTTTTTACTATTAAGTTTCATGTGAAGGAAACTTTTCAAAACTCAAGTTAATAAAATCTTACTTAGGTCCACAATGAGCCAAGCGCGACTAACCAATCTTTCCATTTTATCTATCGAAAATGACAAGTAAACTTTGATAATATATTAGAATATTTTAGCAACATAAAATCCTGTTAGCGTGTATAGCATTTTTTGTTTTATTTTGGGGGGTACTTGATAGAAAACCGCCCTGGGTGTCAACCCACGCTACGCCGCCACTAGTTACCGTAAGGTTTGATACCGTAGCGAAGCAATAATGTAATCAAAATATTATACGGAGTTTAATTATAATTATATTGAAAAAAATACGCATTTCGTTTTCCGTGATGCTATATACACTAATAATATCCTCAAAATATTGTATCATGGACACTATATTAGAAAGAAATGCAACGCCTAACTCGGTGCCTTTCATTCATTTCAAGGTCACTGATTTAGGAACGTTTCTCTAGTATGAAGTGCGCACTCCCTATATTTTACAATCTCCTTGTACTAGGTAAATCTTGTACTATATAGGTGCACTTAGTCCAATTCTGTACAAATACTCGATCCAAATACCTATTTCTCCTAGTCCATGAAGTACGCATGAAGTTTGGTATTGTTGGAATAGCTTACACTTTAAAGTATGCTTAGTCTTTACGTACAGCCGATACGTGAAGGTAATCAATAGTAATGATCCATTCATACTTTACATAGGCTTAAGACTGTCAACGTCAAGATTTATTTACATTCTAGATTGTTGGCGTATAAGTTTTCAATTTTTTTTTTCAGAGTAATCCGATTTTTGTCTATTTTTCGATAATTTTTTAATTATTTTTGTTTCGTTTCTTTAATTACCTGTCTACAATCATTGTTTTTATATACACGCAAAAAATCAGTCTTGAGAATTTTTAAAACTAAGTTGTATTTTAAAAATGTTGGCTTTTGTCCATAAAATGATCCCAAGCGACATTGTTTCCATTGGAAGCCAGTTTTTTAAAACAATAAACACTTTAATGTCTAATGTATAAATAAAAAATAAATCGAAAGTTCTTTAACCACATAACAAAACTTCGTTACGAAAACCTATTCCTAAATAAGTCGAGTAGGTATCAATACAGTGCTGAGATCACATTTGCATGAGTCCGTACTAGACACTCGACTGCATCATGTGGTCTCCAATCTTCATTCGCATTGAGTATTTACAAGTACCTAGTGTATAAAATCTGCCTAGTATTTGGTTGAAGTCCACGGGACTAGTCCCGACTAGTCTCGAGTATTGACAGACAAACATAGAAAGACTGAGGAATAGTGTAATTAAAAAAGGACAGAATATATTCTTACACAACACGAGTGTGCGTCGCGTGAAATATAGTTCAAATTCAAATGACTGACACATGAATGATTTAGGCAAACACGAGTAAGCGGCAAAGCAGGCTAGAACTACGGGCTACGGCAACAAAATGCGATCTCGCTTCGCCGTGCCGGTTCTTGGCGAGCCGCCGCGACAGTCCGGTGAGACGCATAGGCACAGTGAGACTAGGTGGATCAAGTCTTTTAAAAGTTGGAACAAGTGTAACCTAGTCTCGTTTAATACCTAGTGCCTGGATCTGTTCTAGCATATACGCTTCATCTCTGTTGTCAATCGTTATTTTTGGATTTTTGTAGCTTGCTACATATTTATTTATCTATGGATTTTTGGGTTTCAATTTTTTATCTGTGGCTACGAGTTGTCCTACCATAGATTACTGTATTCCTACGTTGAGAAAGTAGCTTTCTAAATTTCATAAAACTGACTTTGACTGCCTTCAAAATCTGTAATAAATTGAATTAATTAATATCTAATAAATAGTGTTCATACTGTAGTTTCATGTGTTGTGTTGTGATAGACATCTAAGACGCGTCGATCAGTGGAAGATGGTGGAAGACTAATTAGAAAGCAACATGGAAGCACTGACAGTTCCGCCATGAATGCAAAATAAATAGAAATTGTGAAGGTTCATAAATTGAGTTATTTGTTTAGTGTTTACATTATTGCTTATAAATATAGAGTACTATACATTGGAAAACAAAACAGTTGTTAAAATTCAAAAATGCGCCTGAATGTGCATTTGGAATTGAGGAATGAAAATTGAAAATTTTGCGAAAAATGAATCCGTGCAGAGGAACTAGGACTCAAAAGTTGATACCACTGTAAAAATTTTCACTATATTTTATAAAGATAGTTATGTTGATATAAAAATGTTGTATTTCCAAAGTAAATGGATCTACACTACACTAATATAACTTGAAATATATATTGTATATGTAAACTCCTCTTGAATACAATAGCATATATAAATAAATTTCTTAAAAATGTCTGTCAAGCATGGGAATTTCGTAAATATAACCGCAGGATTAGTAATTTGTCTAACATACCTTCTTGCAATCAATTATTACAAAATATTCTTAAAGCTATGGTTATGATAATAATTACTTAGTAATGACAGCAAATTATAAAAAATAAATTCATTGAACTCTTTAACACACGCAATGCAAAAGCAAATCAATATATCACCAAAATGAATGAAGTATGTAAACCAACAGCAACACTGCCTATAACAATGTGACATTAGGCAGCTGCATGCTGCAATATCAACTTATTTGCTAGTACTGAAAGATTAACCATGATGAACAGAATAATGACAGAGATTAAGACTTGTGGAATGTCCCAAGCTAGTTGCCTGCCTAGGACTTTATACTACTTGATCAAGTGGAGCTTTAATACTTATTGGTTTTCTACCCTCACTCATAACAATGTAAATACTAGAGATGCGCCTAGAACTTGCTTACTACTCAGTACTCAGTGTTTTTAGTACTAAGATATAATAGGCTAAAAAAAAATAATTCTCAGTTAAAATATTTCACAAAACATGCTTATTAGTAAAGCTATTACTATTTTTTAATTTTAAAAATGTAGTCATACACATAAAGAGAACTAAATATAATATTATTTCCTTACAAGATTCAAGGTTTTAAAAGCATACTATGAGCAATTTGTGGGCAAATAAGCAACTGCTAGAAGTGTACGCCATGTAGTGTCATTGTAAGATAATCCCCAATCCTATAGTATCTTGAAGATGCCATATGAGGTGACAGATTGAAACTGAAGCAGGAGATGGGCATAACAACTTAAAATAATAAAAAAACAGCAGTTGCTAAACTGCCAGACAAGTGTGGCAAATATGACAATTTACCCTGCTTACTTATTGATTACTGTCTCTATGTTACAATAGAATTTGATAAGATGTGACGAATGAAAATAATGAATGGTAGATTTGGGCAGCGAGTTGGGGTTGTGGTCCAGCAGGCTCATGCAATGCACTATGGGTGCGTTCAAAATTATTTTTGTGCCTCAAAACTGTTTTCTTATTGAACTGAGTATTTCAGCCAAGTACTCTCTCTGGTTAACATAAAATTGAGTAATACTTTAGTACTCTGTAATCGCTCTAATAAATGACGCAGATTAAATGTCGACAGAGCCCTAGGCTAGCACCTTATCGGTGCTGCTCTAGAGGACATAATATATTATAAATTATAACTACTCATTTTGCAAATAAACTATATTATAATTTACAGTTTAATAGTTACAAAATACTTAGAACACAAGCACCCTTAACAAGTAAGCTTGAATGAAAAATGTGATGAGAGAGTTAGAAAAAATTATGTGCACTTTTGTTTTCTTGTTCTATGTTTGTACACCTTAACCTTATGTAACTTTAACAAAAATAATTTAGTTATTTGTTATAGTTAGTAGTGGTGAAACTGTACATCAAGGTCAAATTAATAAATAAATTAACTGACAGTGTCATGTGATCTATGGGTAAGAGTTCTTCCACTAGGGCACTAATAACCTAATAATAGTGTTAATTTCAGCTTTTAAGTGAATCAAAAAATTTATAACAATATAAGAAATATTATCCTCTTAGCTGCATAATACTCCACAGTGGCAAGTAGAATAAATTGCTAGTGTTGCAAGTACAAATACATCCCTACATATCACCTGCCAGGCTCATCACTCTCATGCCTCTACCTTTACCATTTAAGATTGCAAAGAATTATAGTGTATAGTTAAATGAAATGTACAGATTGACATGAAATTTGCTACAGTTTGTTGGATATTAATCTGTCAAACAGTAGTTTTAACACACATTATCTGTAACGTAGATTTATAGATGTATACTAAAAATTTTTAAAAGATCTCTTACAAGTAGAAATTGGAGTATAATAAACTGTTCACAGAAAAACAGTAAAAATGTCTATTTTACATTTCCGATCAAAATTCACACTGCGCTCAGTTGCTCACACAGTTGCTAAGTAATATAAAAAAAAAAGTTATGTAAATACTTATTATATTAAAATACTTATAATAGTAATTAATCTAACTATTTAAAAAAAATATTTTTCTTAGAAATTTGAATTTTGTTTCAGCTGCTGGAGTAACTCAGGAAAGTTTAGAAACTTCACAATGTTGAGAGGTGGGCGTGGCGGCCGTCACAGTCCGGAACTGTACCCCCACACACTAAAGTGCTCCAACGCGAGCGATACCAGCTCCGCATATAGTGGTAGTGACACCATGACGTCGGTTCACAGCTCTTTAGATATGGACATGGAGGTAGACCTATCAGGTCTTCTTGAATCCATAGTGGATTCAGATGAAGAGGAAGATTTGGAAGAGAGTATGGATAGTCTCACTGTACGAGATGCTGTGAGAGATTGCCTTGAAAAAGACCCAAGTGATAGAACTGATGAAGATATTGAAATTCTTTTGGAATTCACCCAACATTTAAAAGCCTTTACAAATATGACTCTTACAGTGCGTAAAGCACTCTGTGCTGTAATGGTTTTTGCTGTGGTAGAAAAAGCTGGAACGGTAGTCATGAATGATGGAGAAGAACATGATTCTTGGTCAGTTCTGATTAATGGACATGTTGGCATTGAGCATCAAAATGGAGAGATTGAGTATCTTAACGTTGGTGACAGTTTTGGAATGGCGGAAGCGACACTTGAAAAACTATATCACAGAGGCGTAATGACAACAAGATGTGATGACTGTCAGTTTGTATGCATCACACAAACTGATTACTATCGTATTCTGCATCAAGGAGAAGAGAATATAAGGAGACATGAGAACGAAAATGGAGTTGTAGTCTTAGTGACAGAATATAGGGGATTAGCTGGGGAATCAGGTCATCAACAGGGACATGTTGTAATAAGGGGAACACCAGAACAATTAATGTTACAGTTAATTGAAGACAACTCACGAGATTCAACATATGTAGAAGATTTCCTTTTAACGCACAGAACATTTATAGAAAGCCCCCTTGTTGTTGCTAAACAGTTGCTTGCCTGGTTCTCTGAGCCTTGTGATCGTGACAAGGTTACGAGAGTTGTGTTGCTTTGGGTAAACAATCACTTTACAGATTTTGAAACAGATCCCAATATGATGGAGTTCCTTGAAAACTTTGAAACAGCTTTAGAACGTGAGAAAATGGAAAGCCAGCTGAGATTACTTAATATAGCTTGTTCTGCAAAAGCAAGAACGAGAAGTGTTACATTGTCACGATCTTCAAGAGATGAACCTTTAAATTTCACTATACTTGGTGGTTATGAAAGGGGATACGGAATTTTTATATTAAAAGTTGAAAAGCATTCTAAAGCAGAAGATGTAGGCTTGAAGAGAGGTGATCAGGTTCTAGAAGTAAATGGCCAGTCATTTCAACATGTAAGCCATGCAAAAGCTATGGAAATAATAACAGGTTCCACACACTTAAGCATAACAGTAAAGAGTAATTTATTAGCCTTTAAGCAAATGTTGTTAATGCCAGAAAATTCGCCAAGACAACGAGGTTGCACCAACATGGCGCGTTGGCAAATGGATCCAAGAGCTCGATTATCTACTGCCGAATTATTAAGTGATGACCCAATAACATTATCTGCAGGTTTTCAATCTCCAACTAAAAAACCGCAACCATTGAGTGTTAAAAAAGAACCACAAAAAGGTTTTATGACTCTTGGCCCAAAAAGACGACTTCAAAAAGCTCTTATGAAAATGAATATTCTGCCTAAAAATACAATTGCTGATGGAATACACACAGACGATAGTATACTCTCAAATTCGGAATCTTTAAGCAAAGCCAATACAAGCACCTCTTTTTATAATTCTCACAGCAACCCAGATTTAATCTCAATTTGTTATGATGAATATCAATCTTCAGATTATCCCGAGCATGTACTCAAAGTTTACAGAGCTGATCAAACTTGTAAATATCTTTTAGTCCATAAGGAAACAACGGCTAGAGAAGTTGTAATGTTAACATTGCAAGAATTTGGCATTACAGATCCTAGTTCCAACTTTTCATTATGTGAAGTTTCAGTTGCACAAGGAGGAATTATAAAGCAACACCGTTTACCAGACCAGTTACAAAATCTTGCTGAAAGGATTGGACTTAGCTCTAGATATTATTTAAAAACAAATGGTGTTAGTGAGACATTAGTACCTGATGAAATGGCACCTGAACTACTCCGGGAGAGTGTCGTTCATTTTTTGCAATTAAATGCTGTTGAGGTTGCTGTTCAATTAACCTTACAAGATTTTTGTATATTTCGACAAATTGAAAGTACTGAGTATGTTGACGATTTATTTGAGTTGAAAAGCAGATATGGTACACCAATGCTGTCGCAGTTTGCGGGACTTGTCAATAAAGAAATGTTTTGGGTTGTTACAGAAGTAGTTAATGAACAAAATATTGTGCGGCGTTCAAAAATTATAAAACAATTTATCAAAGTTGCTCGACACTGTAAAGAATGCAAAAACTTTAATTCAATGTTTGCAATAATCTCAGGATTAGGACACGGAGCTGTGTCTAGGTTAAGAATGACGTGGGAAAAATTACCTACAAAATACATAAAACTTTTCTCTGATTTACAAATGCTAATGGATCCATCAAGAAACATGTCAAAGTACAGACAATTAGTCACAACTGAACAAGGTCGATCGCCAGTTATACCATTTTACCCAGTTGTTAGAAAAGACCTTACATTTATTCACCTTGGTAATGACACTAAAGTTGAAGGAATGGTCAATTTTGAAAAATTACGAATGATTGCTAAAGAAGTGAGAACTCTTACAAACATGTGTAGTTCTCCATATGATCTTTTGACATTATTAGAATTAGGGAAGCAACCTCCTTCGAACGCGATGGTTGCTCTTAATCAGCTCACAACTGGTGTGCAACAAGGACAAGTAACTGTGAAAAGGAGAAAAAAGTCGTCAAATGTTCCAAATCCCAAAAAAATGTTCGAAGAAGCACAAATGGTAAGACGTGTAAAAGCGTACTTGAATCGTATGCATGTGGAAACGGATGAGGAGAGGTTACATGCGCTATCTTTAGAATGCGAGGGATCCGGGCCGGCCCCAGCTATGCCCCGCCGACGACATCCCTCGCCTTCGTTATCTACAACTAGCAGTGCGTCATCAGCAAGTGAGGGTAAAAAAAGTTTTGCCGGGAATAAATTTGGTGCAGCTTCACCACAAGCTGTCCGAAAATTGTTAGCATTATCTGAACCAGCTAAGACTAGGCCACATCAACCCAGGCCGCCGCCACCGGGGCCGTCGCCATGTGCACACCGTCGTGACGGCCCTGGTCCAGGAATTTGCTGTGCCCGAACAGCGCACGAAAGATCACATTCTGATACCCCTACTCCGCTTCCGGTAGATTTGTCAGCGGAGAGTAGTAGTGTGACATCATTAGTGAACTTGCCACTTCGTAAAACTGGCTCAGCTACGTCGAGCGATAGCGGGCATGGCTCCTGCACTACGGCTAGTTGCGTGCGGCCCGTCCCACCTCCAAGAATGCCACAGGCGCCTTACACGCTCGCTGCTCAAGTGGCGCGACTTGAGCGCTTGAGTCGTGCGCATTCCCACGAAGGTGTTACGCGACCATACGACTATTATCACGATGTGCCGGACGACGAAGACGACGACCAGCAAGTATCAGCAGTTTGAAGTTTAAAATACTCTAATCAATTTCTATTTATATAGTTCTATTTTGTAATCTCACTTGACTAATAGAGAGCACGAGTCATGTAATTTTTTTCTTATATATTATTAAAAAATTAAATCATGTATGTACTCTTTACAACTAAAATTTAAAGACTGTATAATTTTAACGTAAGAAATTGTCGTAGTGTTACATAGTGTAAAATTGCATTAGCCATGCCTTGATTCTAATTATTAAATAATTTTAAAGTAACGTGACCCCACCATGTTCCAGTTATATCTAGAGATGTTTGATGTGTACCATTAAAAGGTGATTTATCTACCTTTGGTATGTCTACATTCCGTTGTTTGTATATTTTTTTATAATTTTCGTTATTTATAATATGCAACTTAGACCAAATAATAATTAATGTACCTTTTAATATTTACGATTTGATTGATTTTAATAATAGTACCTATGTTGTAGTAATTTTTTTGGTAGCTTTGTGGACCAACAATGAGTTTCGACGTTAATTCTTATGGTAGCAGTTTGAAATCTGTTTATATCATTTTAATAATTGTAATTGTAAATAATAAAACTATATTAATTATGTACTTCATATGATGTTTATTGTCTGATCCTCAAAGCAATACACATTGATTTCCCAAATATTCCTTTGTTTTGTAACCCTCTTCCACCGAGGTGGTATTTTTATATTCAATCTGCTGAGGATGCAGAACATTTACTCTCTACCGAGAGACTGAAGAGTTTGCGGATAGGTATATTAGTGCTAAAATTTTAGATGATAACTGTATTTTATATCAAATAACGATATAATCATGCTCTATAATATTATATATACAAATTTTAAAAACTGTACAGTACAAATAAAATACTGAAAACGTGAACATTTATTAATTTTTATAAGATGTAGGAATCTTAGTCACAATCATCATTAAAAATAAATGCGAAGAAAACTTAATCAACATTTCGTAACTTTGCCTTCCTTTGAACTTAAACAATAATTTGAAAATAATCCCTAGAGAACTTTTAATAATGCTAAAATTAAGCCTGGCAGTCGTCGCAAACTGGCAAATATAAGTTTTGAACAAACACAAGTAAATTTCCTTTCCGCTTCAATTTCATTGAACAAATACATTACTTCCACGCAGATGATAGATCAGGATCTCTAGGTAGAGTTAAAGTAGGTAATTCAACACTATTTTTCCACAACATGATTTAAAAAAAACCCACACAGTAAAAAGAATACCATGTTACAAGTTAAAAAAGGTCAATCCCTAAAAATTTCAAATTCTCAAAATATCCAGAAACGAAGCTGTTTTTGTGTGCTTAGCATCCATAGGCCTTTGGGCCCGAACTCTCTAGTTGCTCGTCGAGTGTATTACTGATGGGCCCTAATACAGTCGACTTCTGTCTGGGCAACTGAGAGCCGTGACATTTTCTGGTAGCAGAGCGTGGTTGATTGTTTCTCCAATCACGCCCGGCCGTAATATAATAAAATAATAAATATTTTTTGTGTTTTGTTAGCGGATCGGTGGGTAGAATTAAGAACCACGCCCGTTAGGCTACGCAAGCAGGAGTGTAGTTTAGGGTTAGGTACCTACGCGTCAGGTATTTCGGATAGGTAGATTAATTATCGTTATCATATAATCGTATAATTATAGTAGATATTAATTGCCGAAGGGTCGGTCGCCTGGGCGTGGCATCTTGCTGACCGACTGTAGTGTGTACTTGCCGTGTAGTGTAATTTGTATTTAATTTAATATATAGTAATTTGTATTTGTAGTGTAACTTGTATTGAATTTAATTTGATAGTAATTTGTATTTAGTAGTGATGCCATCGCACAAGCTACCGACGCTTCGCCTGCAGGCGGAGCTGCGCTGGGCCGCGAACGCCCATACATTGATAGGACGACCCGATCGGGTCCATAGTTTAGGGAAGCGGCTCGAGCAGGTCGATGCCCGAAGGGCCGTAGTGGAGGAAGCTTGCACAGAGCTTTTGGCCTCAGATGCGGAACAGGGAGTCCTAAACTCCTGCCTCGCGGACTACGAGCAGTTCTTTTCGCTCACGGACGACTTGATCGAGGCGGAGGCCAAGTATGATAATGAAGCGCGTGAAGCTCAGCTGAGTGGCCTGCCCGAGTCTCCTCGAAAGCAGCCCACTCAGCCGGAACTGTTGGGACGACTCCCAACTCTGGACCTGCCAAGGTTCTCCGGGGTCCTCTCCGACTGGATGACCTTTGTTGGCCTTTTTGATAGCCTAGTGGACGCCCGGAGGGACTTGACACCAAGCCAGAAGATGGCGTACCTCCTGGCCTCACCGGATGGGGAGGCTCTGGGCGTCGTCGGCCATTTGAGATTGTCGGACGACGCCTACCAGACTGCCCGGGACTTCCTCGCCGTAAGATACGCCAGCGTCCGGCGAATCGCGGACGAATACGTTAGGCAGCTTCTAAGCCTCCCGCTGCTTAGGGACCGGGCCAGACTACGTCCGGACATCGTGAATCCAGTCTTGGTGGCCTGTAATGCGTTGAGGCAGCTGGATTTACCGTTGTATGAGTCCTTCTTGTTGCTCCACATCGTGCTGTCCCGCCTGCCTCTCGACCTTCGGATACATTTTGAGGAGAGGTACGGCGGGGACGGCGCCTCCTATATTCCGCTCTTCAGTGATCTGCTGCGGTTCTCGGAGGAGCAGTGCCTACAAATTGAGAACGCGGCGGGCACCGTCGACGACTTACGGGTTGCAAACCGAGCCGTGCCCAGGGAGAGGCGGAATCCGCCGGGCAAGTCGCCGCCAACCCATCTAAGGCCGATCGGAGCTCCCGCGGGAGGGCGCCGCTCCTTACCATCTTACAGTGGCCTAGCGGCCAGGGAGGCGCCCCCCTGCTCCTATTGTCGAGCATCCGATCACAGGGTGACATCGTGCCCGAAGTTATTGGGTAAGCCGGTCCCGGCGAGGTAAACTATCGCCAAGGAGCGCCGCTGGTGCTACTCGTGCTTGGAAAGGCACCTCCAACGAGACTGCCCGCACCACCGGCCCTGTCCGCACTGCGAGGGCAATCACCATGCTGTTTTGTGCCTGGGTGCGAACGGCGCTTCCTCTCGGGGCTCGCCCCGGCCCTCGACTCCCACGACGTCCCTCTGACTCTCCGACCTCTGGCCCTCCGACGTCCCTCTGTCGGGCGACGCACGACGCTCGTCTGCCGGCCGCTGTGCCCCTGGTTTTGAAGGAGGCCCCTCCCCCGACCAGTCGGGGGGTCGTTCCCCCAGGGGCGGGGGGGTGTCTTCCCCCTCCGGCGTGACGAGATGAACTTCACAGCCACTCAGCAGTCAGCTAGACCCTTCTCACCCCCGTTAGCTGAGTGACCGCGACTGGGGTACCACCGTCCCCCCTATGATGTAGGCAGCCCCAGCTAGGTAGCTGCCGCCCTAGCTCCCACCACAGCCGCCTCCACTGATCCTTTGAGCCGTCAACAGCCCACTTGTCAAACTGTTCTATTGCCGACGGCCTCAGTAAAGGTGTACAACGCGAGTGGCAAGTGTTTAACGGTTCGCGCTCTATTGGATTCGGGTTCACAACCCTGTGTGACCTCCACTTGGTTGGTGGGAAGACTAGGGCTCCCCTGGAGCTCTGAATGGTTGAAAAAAAAATGCTTTGGTTTTTCCGCGAAATGTTTCGTAGTTGTAGCGGTTGTGAGTAAAAAAGTGAATTTAATATACTCCTTGAATACGAGTACATATGTTTTTGTAAAGATATTTAATCATTATGTTTGCTTTATTGAAAGGAAAATTGAAATTGAGTAACACCATTTGTGCCGAAAGAAATAAAGATCAATCCTCTCTTTTTTTCCACATTTTTGTTGGCGTTGTCGAAGATATTTATTTTGAAAAAAAAAATATGGCTATCTTTTATGTTTATCGCTTTGCTTAATTTATCTGTTTGATCTATGCGCATCAAGAAATACATTTATTACAATTTATTTTCAAGTTTTACCTAGTAGTTTGAGTATTGATGCTTTTGAAACTTGGTTGAAACATAAGCATAGAACCACATGTTTAAAAAAGCTAGCTAGTTAGGATATTATCAGATTGAAATCAGCTACTGCACAATTGAGTAAATGGTTATATAGTAGATGGCTTGATTATGTCTACTTGCGTGAACAAAATCATACTGAGGCCTACCTGTGCATTTTCGTGTGCCTCTCCACTAAGGCCGCTCACTTAGAACTTGTAAGTGCCCTCAGCATTGAAGCCTTTGTGGCCACGATGGGCCGCTTCGTATCGCGTCGCGGTTTGCGGACCTGATCCGGTCCGATTGCGGAACGAATTATAAGGGGCACGGATAGATATTTGAAAGAGGTCGTCGAATTTCTGTCCAGCAACAGGACTTATTTAGGTGCTGCGATGTCCAGGAAGGGCATCCAGTGGAGGTTCGACCCTCTGGCTTGCCCACATTGAGGCGGTACTCAACTCTCGGCCCCTCTGCCCCCTCTCATCCGATCCGAATTATTTGGAGGTTGTAGCCCCGGGCCACTTCCTGATTGGTCAGCCGCTTAGCGCCCTGCCCGAGTACCCCTTCAGGGAATTAAACTCTTCGCGGTTGAGCAGATTTACCCTGCTGCAACAGATGACTCAGAGTTTTGGCACCGATGGTCTCTGGAGTACCTACATCTTTTGCAGCAGCGCGTTAAGTAGTCTGACAAGACGGATCCTCCTCGGGTTGGTTAAAGAACCCAACGCTTTGCCTTTGTATTGGCGCCGTGGGCGCATTGTTAAGTTGTCGTATGGATCTGATGGGAAAATATGGTCAGTCGCTCATAGTCAGAATAGGTACTTTACCTAAGCAACTTACCATTTCGCAATGTAGTTTTTACTCTTTATTGACAGCCCTTAGTAACCACGGAAAGTGTGGACTTTACACTTTCCGTGGTTGCTAAGGTGGCGTGACGAAGGAAGGGGAAAAGATGCAACTATCATCATCATCATCATCATCATTACAGCCCTTCACAAGTCCACTGCTGAACATAGGCCTCCCCCAAAGAATGCCACAAAGCACGGTCCTGAGCCACCTGCATCCATCGACTTCCTGCATGTCTTACCAGGACGTCACTCCATCTCGTGGGGGGGACGCCCTACACTTCGCCTACCAGTACGAGGCTGCCACTCGAGAACCTTTCTTCCCCATCGGTTGTCGGTTCTTCGAGCTATATGGCCGGCCCATTGCCACTTCAGCTTACTAATCCGTTGGGCTATGTCGGTTACTCTGGTTCTACTGCGGATATCCTCATTCCTAAGTTTATCACGCAGAGAAACCCCGAGCATAGCTCTCTCCATAGCTCGCTGAGCGACCTTGAGCTTCCTCATCCGGCCAGCAGTGAAGGACCACGTCTCAGTTCCGTATGTCATCACTGGCGACACGCACTGGGTGTACAGTCTCGTTTTCAAGGTTTGAGGTATACCTGACGAGAAGATGTGCCGTAATTTCCCGAACGCTGCCCAACCGAGTTGAATCCGTCGATTGATCTCTCGGTCGAAGTTGGACTTACCTAGTCGGACTATTTGTCCCAGGTAAACATACTCGTCAACAACTTCGAGCT